AGTTCGGAGACCCCTGCCACGCATATAAACCATACGGCTCCGATTTTGGAGTCCATGGGTGGTAGTGGTTAAGTCACTAATATCGTGCATGCATGAACTCGCTTCAGTCAAACCTCATGGGAATGGACAGAAAACTTCAAGTTGTCCAAAGTTCAAGCTAAGAGAGGTTCCGGATTTGCTGACAAGCCATACATACATGCTGGTAAGTGCAATAGGGTTTCAACATTACCTGTATTACTCTGAGATCTATGTACTGTAGTAGATAGGGATTCGAATTGGACTTCATGGGATTTATTGCAGCTTTCGGTCTAGACGTGCACTCACCCTTCTAACGGGTCCAAGTACACCCCCAGCAGGATCTGGAACAGCCTCCGTCGGTAGGCCCGGTCCCGTCCCTTGGAGTTGATGTGACAGTAGCGCTCGGCAGCACCGTAGTCCCGTAGCTTGTAGACCAGTATTCTCAAGGCTTTATCATGCTCTTCAAGCTGGAAGAGGAAAAGACAAGATGTCAACTAAAACCATTTTTATTTTTTTTAATTGCTGAGGGGATTTTCCAGTACCTCACCTCTGTCTCTGACTTCGCCTGATTTCAACCCCCTGACTTTGATGTCACCGACTCAACAGTATGTTATAAACTGCCAACAAAATGTCAAACTACATGCCAGAAACCTAAATGTCCATTTCTATTTTTATTTGAACACTGTTTCCCTAAAAGTGGGCACTGATTTCAGAGATGAAATCTTACCCTTTCTTTCTTTCAGACTTTTTTTCACAATTTTATGCAAACATGTACCCGGTACACTTTTTTTTTGCCTAAAGCTTGCCACCTGTTTAACTCTGAATTTAAAAGATAAACTGTGCGCATTCCTGGTTGGTGATGAAACATGGTGCATGAAAACAGTTTTTATCATCTGTTCAGTCTGTGCTTTTTATAAATGTCATTTTATATTCATTGTATTAAGTAAATGGAAATTCATTTTTTTTTTTTTTTACAATGTGTATAACTTTATGTATAATGCAAACAGGAAACCAATTTTCATTTTTTTTTTTTACGTGACGATGTAATGAATGAAATGAATGCAATTGAAAATAAACACCAAACCTGTTTGATTTGACATGGAAATCACTAAATTTGTTTCAAATAATTTTTATTTGTTTGGGGACTGTGTAATGCAACATGCATTACTCAATCCTGCTTGGAAATTGTAGAATGTGTTTTGAACATAAAGAAAAATGGCTTCTAATAAATTAATAATTAAATTATGCATACAAAATACTGCATAAGAATCTGTCAACAATGATCAAAAGAGGGCGCTGTTTGCCCAACCATTGACTGGCTCCGAGAGTGTTGACACCGAATGCAAAGACAAGCAGCAGGCTTCAACTCTAGCTTACCTGCGTGCACTGATGCACGCAAAAGGCATTTTGGTTCACTTTGTTCAACCCGAGCAAAAATAACTCCGGCCAATTTTGTGAATTGTCACTTCCTTCAAATCACTGCAGAGGTCATTGACAGACACCGGTGTGAATGCAACAATGGGGCAAGGAATTGATTCATTACTTTCAGTGCGGTAATTGAAATGGGAAAAAATGCCTTTGTCCAAGTGAGAGGTACCAAGCAACCTACGACGGCACTGACAGTCGGCAAATTGGAGAAGTTGTCATTCATTAACCCTAACCCTCCTCAATCCTTCACCTGTTGGAGGACTGAGGAGTGTTAGGGTTAAAAATGCTGTAATCACCAATCCGAAGCCATTTTGGGGAAAAAAAGATCTCCCCAGGCTTGCCAGGCAGATTTAGAGCGCATACCACTGCCTCAATACTTCAGGGGTTTGGTGGTTTTTTTGGTCAGCTTGGCTGTCTTTTTTTCCCTTATCGTTGTTGAGTCAACATATGGTCATACCACAAAAATTTCTCAGAGCCATGGAAGATGCAGTTTGATGAATGCTACCTGTAACAATATTTCACTGCAAAGGGTAAATACAATAACAAAATAACTACCTCTGTCCTCACATGGAGAGAAGCATATCAAGATAAACTGTCTTGCCCATGAACACAATAACAAATAACTACCCCTGTCCTCACATGGAGAGAAGCAAATCAAGAAAAACTGTCTTGCCCATGAACACAAGCATGAGAACATGACAGACTGAACTCCAACCCAAAACTCCAACAATAGCCTGAAATATCTCCAGTACCTTCGACCAGAGGTTGAAGTTCGTCATTCTGTGCTTACAAAGCACTGCAATGGCAAAAAATGTTGAGCTCAACAAATTTCTAGCACTAAATTTGTGAGCCAATATTTCTTGCTATCTCATGAATATGCTTCACAACACCCCATTACTGTCTCACATAGCAGTTGTGAGCAGAGATTAGGTCTTTATGCCATAGGCAGAGCCATGCTAGGAAAACGAACACCGTGCAAAAATCTTGTCAGAAAACAGTTGCAGGCAGCCCCTGCGATCAATATTTGATGCTTTCAGCACTTGCCAAAAAATTCCACACTGACCGAGTAAGCGTGAAATCCTTAATTACAAGATTTTAACTTGTGTATACATTGAACCCAAATTTCTCGGCCAACCTGTGAAATGCACCAACCGTAAGCACAGCATTCTGTGCTGTTGTTAGCGGCAACGTTTATGTCGATAAAGAAGAACCATGACATATACTCCTACACTGTGCCTCAGCTTCCTCATGAGGGAGTAAGATATGCAAAGCGATTCTTTCCTCGCCTCCCATCTCTGCGGTCCGGGTTCAATTCCCAGCTCGTTCCGCATGTGGATTGGGTTTTCAGTCCCTACCTGATTCCGTGGGGTTTATCCAGAATATTCCTCTGGGGTTTTTTACCTCCACTAAACCTGTGACTGCTCCTCTGCGTCTCTTCTCTAAAACCCAGGCACCCTTGAAAAAAAAAAACACTGCTTGCATCAAAGGGTTTCCCCAGGATCGAAAAGAAATCAAAAAGTTCATTTTATCAGCCCCAGGCCCCAAGAGCCAAAAGCACCAGCCAGACAATGTCAGGAGACGCTGACCTTTCCGTAGAGGATGGCCGTCTCGGCAAACATCTCCGTCTCCCTGACCTTGCCCAGGATGAGCTGCACCCGGTAGAGAGAGGACTCCTCCAGCATGTGCCGCAGCTTGGAGCGGGCCAGGTCCAGCTCCGTCTTGGGCGTGCCAGCGTCTTTCCTCAGGACGTCGTCCAGGTACAAAACGGCCAGATGGGTGTGGTACTTCTCTTTCTGCGGGGAGAAAAAATACGAGTTCACTTTTTTGGCAGCTGAGAGCAGCCCCTTTTCCAGAGCATTGTTTTAATATGAATATACCAAAGGGCTTAAAACACTGGTAGGCAAGGATCATCTCCGGAAACCTTTGAAACTGAGGAAATTGAAGCAGGTGGGGTAAATTTTGCTCAACTTCAAAGAGTTGCAGTGACATGATTCAACTGGAAACAAAGATATCAGTCACCCGTGCTAGAAAGTGAGGGTGCTGGACCAAGTTTGAAACTCCAAACCAAAGCGCCGATGGTCTAACAAGTAGTACAAAGCACATTTTCACCATAGTCCAAGAGAAGCAATTACAGGCAAGGATATGAAGGCCAACATGATGGCAAAATGAAGGACATGGCCTCCGTAGATAATACCGTGGCCAATCAACCATTGGAGCAACCACAAATCAACAATCAAGTCAAATGAAGAACAGACAGTAGGGCCAACCCCCCCCCAAAATGACAAAAACACAAAAAAAGAGGAAAAAATCCAAACAAAATTATTACGGTCTGTGGACAGATGTGATTGACACAGACACACAAAGAACAGGTTTGTCAGAAAATGAACAAGTGAAGCCACAAAAATGCTGAAAAAAAATTCTGTATTAAAACTTGGAGCTTCAAAAATATCATGTCCAGATTTAATGCCTGAATGGCTACCGAAATGCACACTAAAATGAACATGTATGTAACAATAATAGAATTCCATGACAGATACTTTGTGACCAACAGAGGGAACAAAATATGTAAATATGTCTGAAGAACACCTGGTTGGAAGCCAAAAAGAAAAAAAGGAAGTGCTTTGGGAAGTGCGATCAGTGTTGCATGGAGGAATTTACGAGCCTTGGTGGTTTGTTTTTATTGCCGTTTTTATTCTGTTTTGTTTTTGAAGGATACAGTTCATGAGAACAAACCAACCATGGCTGCAATCCTGACAAAAATGGGACAGTGATTGCTAGAAAAGTAATAAAAATGTAACAAGTGGGAAGGGCCAGACACAGCAGGTTGAGGTCAGAGTTCATTCATCCCTTGTAAGAGAGTCTGTAATGAGTCAGTATGTCAAGAATTGGTTTATGTCATTTCAGTTTGTTTCAGAGAGATATTTTTCCTAAGAGTGTGGTAAATAAACCACTTTCCCCACGTTTTACCAGATCCGGGTTACCACTCTTGAGGTACACATAATGTACATGTACGTGTAGTTGGGCGGAGGCAGAACTTTGTAATTTCTGCTAAAAACTGGAAGTACATGTACAAAGTGAGTTTTGAGTTAAGGGCCTTTCAGACAAGCTGCCGGGATGGACAGTATGAACCCTCCACATATTTCACCTGTGTAAGGTTCATTTTCATCAGGATGCCACACCGAGTAACGCATTTGAAGCGAAGAGGTCAGTTTGGTCTGTCTGATGAAAACTGATAAACAGTCCCTCAAACTGTGGCCTAATATTGAAAACATCCCTGAGAGATTTTGCTCTCCAGCGCAACGCTGTCATGAAATCAAACAATTATTCATCACAGGATATCCAAAATTCTGCTTTAATGCTAAAGTTTGTGTCCTGGATGATGTCTCATAACCATACAAATCTGCATTTAGCCATAAAATGTTAAAAAGGCACCAAAATGCCCTCATACAGCACGCAAATATTGAAAAGAAAGTTTAAACTGGCCAAACAGGTGCATTAAAAGGACACTTGAAAACTATCACTAATATCACACTGACATTCCACACTGCAATCAACACACTATGTGGAGGAAAAAGTTCTGAAAAAAGTCCGTAAACATCCCAGCATCAAGCGCAGATCCAGGGGGCAGTTAAGGGGGTCAAAACCAGCCCCCTCCCCCACTCTGAGACCCTTCTCCCCCCCCCCCAAAAAAAAAGGTAAAAGGGGGGGGATAATAACAACCAAAGTACATGTAAGTGCACCAATCCATTGTAAACAATGATTGGCATGCAATGTGTCATCATTTCAAGTTGTCCGCAAAAATAAGACATTGAAAAGAAATCTCCGGCCTGGAACCCCCTCCCCCCCGGAAAAATTTCTGGATCCGCCCCTGCGGCATGTTTGTGCCGTTATGACTAGCTGCCCTAACATCCTGTGCAGAGGTTTACCCATGCTGGTATGACAAATCCTGTAATTCTTTGAATAGTAGTATAAAAAAAGCAACAACTGCTGAGAGCTTTGTCACAGTCAATCTTTGGCCAAGGTTTGATGAGTAGAAAAGTGCAGCCTTTCCAAGGCTTAAAGTTGGGGGTAATTTCCCTCTTACCCTCTTTTGGTCTTTAGCGGTGTTAAAGCTTGGTTAATGCATGACTAGAGATGGACAAATGGTTGCTGGGTTGTTACATCAACGATGCATGTCGGGTCCTCTGAGTGACGCGGCGCATAATTTCCTCCTGTGTCATTTTCCAGAGGCTTCATTCTACACCTTTGTCAACACCAAAAGTCGCCTCCGCTTGGTTAAAAAAAATCCTATTGCTTTGGAGGTACAAAGCCGATTCAAAAACACCACAGAATTATTAAATTTCTCATCAGGAGCCCCCATGCCAAAACTTTGGTCTTAAATTTACTAGCAATTGTGCAACTTGTGTCAAATATTAGTGACAAGTTCCCTGTGAAATATACGAGCAAAGTACAGGCAGTCCCAGTTCACAAGGTGAAACAGGCCTCCCGAATAAGTTCCAAAATATTTGCAATAGGCTCCGAATTCAACCTTCATGTCCTAAGTCCTTCTCCGAGTCTTGCTTGCAAATACTTGGATATTTCCAAGATAAGTTTTTGGGTACAAATGCTTCCAACACATGATCCTAATCCCGCACACTCAGTAAAAACTATTTTGTTTTTCGGGCCTGACTTCGACTAACTCATGTTAAACTTGGGTGGCACTTGACAGACTTACAAAATAGATCTGAGCAAAACCAATCTGCACAACTCAGAGACAGAAGATGATGCCTTCTGTGGAGTATGGATATGCTGCGCGATGTCTCTTTTTCCTCCCCAAAAAAACACAGAGTCTGCAATCCAGGAAATGAATGTGAAATGTGCTACCCTGTGTCGGTTACAAAGTGTCAAGTGGGGAATGTCGCCTGGGGCTGACAAAAGTGGAAAAACTTCCCGACACAAAGACCCACTGTAAACAAATGCGCGCTGTCAGCGCCCTGCGGTATTCAGTCCACTAATAAGTGGCTTCATTTACATGAAGCCCAACACACACAGAGCAACTTCTGGTGAGGATGACGTGCCAGTTTGACCATTGGAATATGTACGGGCACCTTCCTGGTTCCAGCTGGAAACTTTATTTGGGCAGTCTTTACAAAGTTTCTCTGTCTGTTTCGTTCATTCAACTGTATCCCACAGATCACCAGGTGAATACTCAGAATTGGTGTACATGTAATTGTGACACAAAATAGTGCAGGGGACCAGTCAGTTAGCGGTGTTTCCCTTGTGGTTGTAAATTTCTGCAAGCATTTCAATGCCCCCTAGACATTTTGCAAATATGAATATAAAGCAACCAGGCGGCAGGTTTCATGAACCGCTGGAGCACTTCATGTTCTTACAGAATTGTTATTCCTTTTTTTGCAGTGAAAAAAATTATATTTATAAAATATTTGTAGATATTGGTAGACAACCCCCAAAACTCACAGTAAAAGAAAAATACCTCTTGAGGAAGAAAAGACCTTGTCCCCCCCCCCCGCCAAAGGTCAGATTTTCAGTACATGTGTAGCTTTGTGATTGGTTCCTACTAAAAATGTCCGATTCAAACCAACTGATTTTTGAATTGGCTTTAATTGGAATGAATTGGGTGCAATTGGCAATCAATTGGTGCTCAGTTGGTTTCAGTTGGTATGTTTGCTCTCCCATTTGTTTTCTCCAATCAGTTGGAGACTTCAAATGTGACGCAATTGGTTTCTGTTGGCATTTTTTTTCTTTGCGGTTTATTTTCCCCAATCAATTGGAATTTCAAATGGGAATCAAATGGTTCCAATTGGTATGCTTTCTCTTTGTTTTCCTCAATCAATTGGTGATTTCAAATGGGGTGCAACTGGTTCCAATTAGTTGGCTTTCAGCTTGTTTTCCCCCATCAAATGGATTTTTCAAATGGGACTCAATTGGTTTGAATTGGTATTGACATGGTTTCAATTGGTTCTTCGGTTGGTTACAATCAGATTGTGAATTGGCATTCAAATGGTGTCAATTGGTTTGACATGGTCCAACCGAGAAAAGGTCCAAATTTACTATTCAAACCAACTGCACCCAATTGGATTCCAATTGATTCCAAGCAGAAGCAAATTGTTTTGGAATTGGTTACTGAATTGGTAAAGTGAATTGGATCCAACTGGTATGTGAATTGGATCCAGTGGGTAAGTGAATTGGTCTCAATAGATAAATTGGACATTTTCAGTAAAGGTTGCATTCAGCCACGCTGGCCACTGCCTAAGCACGGATTGGCTGCAAGCTTGTTGTGTAATCGAAACATACGGTACATAACGGGTACGTACATTCTCCTTCAGAATAATTCCCACACTCCATGTCACGTTTCTTTATTTTGTCAAACAGCCATCTCTGAGAGACAAACCACAAAACTCAAGTTTTGTTCTGAAAGTCAGACAAGTCAATTTGTCTTTCTTTTACTGAATAAGTCAAGGTGACCGTCTTGGCGGAGGAAAAGAAAGTGCAAGTGGTGTGGGTTCAGTTGTGGTGGATATTTCCATTGAGGACCAAATCTGCAATCAATTTGTTTAACTGCTTGTTTTTCAGTCACAGCTCGGTGCTCACTGATTGCAAAGAGGACAAGGTTTCCCACTGTGGAAAATAGGTAGAAAGGAAAACGGGCCACAGGCAAAAGAAAAGTTGTATGACAGGCTCGACTAACCTTGAATGTCCAGACATCCGGCGTTTATTTTTAGTCATAATTGTACTGAGAGAAAAACCCTAAAACACTGACAATTAAAAATAACATTTGGAGAGTTGTACTCTT